TGACTTTTTCCAATGGATTACAGACTCTGTTTCCAAAGGGTTAAAGCATTGCTACAATGGAATTACCAACAACATTATGGAATTATCATCAACACAATGGAATTACCAAAAACATTGTGGAATCACCTTGACTTTTGTTTTCCTTGCTGGATTACTTTTGACTTTTGTTTTCCTTGCTGGATTACATCAAGACCAGGGACATTCAAAGGCGTAAGTTCATGTTGGAATTCATCCCCATGGACAGGCGATGATTTCCAAAGGGGGGACTGTAGTGAACTAGGCCTGATGTCAAAACCTTGACCTAAGGACCATATGGGACAGAAACTGTCATTTCATTGATTTGAATCCAGAAATACAGGTTGACCCATCCTGAGACTTTCTTCCTTGAATTAATCAAGTAAAAGAAGACTACTTTCTATTATCATTACCATTTTACAAATGTTTTGATAATCAAATTGTGTTAGTTCAAACAATGTTTAAATGTTGAAGTGAACTACTCATTTTTAAATCAACTGTGAAACAGTAATAACGATTTTTAATCCTCATTCAAAGAAGAAATCAGGTTAATGATGCATTGTCTGATTTTCTGTCTTCAATGAGCAAGGGTGTAAGTTGGTCAAAGTTCAAGTTTCGGTCAACTGCAAGTTTACTGAAAAAGAAATGTCATGTTTAACTTTTACAGTAAGATACTAGAGAATTGACTCCACGAAGTCTGAAGTTCTTCATAATATCTTTTGTCTGTTCTTAAACAATCTTAATCTTTTTCCTTGACTTTTCATAACACCTTACATCACAAAACACACCTCTGTTTTGGTCAATCGACCAATCAGAAAGTTCTCAAATGAACCGGAAGTGAGCTTTCTTTAAATGTTGGTACTTCCTAGTTCAACCCAGTTGCTGTAGATGAAGAAGTTCTGCAGGAACTCGGCAGTTCCAGAATGCAGAATGCTGGAATGCAGAATGCTGGAATGCAGCATGCTCAGTACATCTGCCACTAAGCTGGACGAGAGAAGTTCAGAGGAATTATGAAGTCTGTTCTGGATGATCTCACGACTCCCGAGGTTTAGCTGTTCTTACGGAGACGCTGAAAAGTGGCTCGAAGTGGAACTTTACGCCGGAACTGACATATCTTCAGAAAGGTAAAAAGTCGATCTTCAACCAAAGTGTACCGTTGGGACAAGCTGGTCCAAAGGAGCGTGCTGTTCTGGTTAAAACAGACAAATTCCCTCACACATCTCTCTCAAGATAAACTTCATCTTTCCATCTTTAAAAATTCTTCTATCTGCTAAAAATCCTTACAGATATTTTTAGAAATGTCTGAAGCAAAGTTTTTCAACCACCGCCGTGTGGTCAATGTCGTACTGCTGGAAGTGAGAAAACAATCGCCGTATTGTTTACCTCCTTGTAAACTGATTAATAAGCTGTTGTTATTTTCAATTTTTGCCAATTAATGTAAATGTGTGATGTGTTAAACTTGATTCTGTTAATAAATGACCCACTGTCGTTGGTGAGTCAAAGATAATTAACGTCTCACGTCCACATTTTATTAAATTCAGATGCACGTTATTATACAGTCCAGAAAAATGAAAGAATCCGTTTTATCTATGAATATATGACAGCATATGTTCATACTACATGGCTGAGGATGCTCCTGTTGCAAAGCCTTGCTGAGCATCTGCCAGTGGTTGTGCAAAGACCACGATGCTAAGCTAAGGCGCGTGGAAGGGTTTACGTGATATATCCTGCCACAAGTCTGTCCTGCAGTCCTGCCATGTGAAATAACAGTCCAGGAATACCTCCTCAGTGACCTGCTCCCCTCCTGTTCTTTTCCTCATTTGATTCTACCGTTCGGTCCCCATCCGTTTAGACAGCAGTTGTCAATTATTTTCCTTCCAGTGGATTAAACCAGTATTAAAGTAATGACACAACCGCTACCAGAGCCAGGTTTCAATGTAAGAATTCAAAAACAAAAAAATGTATGGATGAAAGCTGAATTAAGTAGCATGAGAAAAATATTTGTCAAGATAAGATGACCAATCTTCTGCCAAAGCATTAAACCCCATAATAAACTGCACAGATAAAATGAAAGGTGGTTCAGGATTCTATTCATGCCCAGTTTAAATCCAACAGCTTCAACAACACACGCCCTAACTGCATCCATTTACACCGGCTGTTTATTCCCTCCCACCTTTGTTTAGACAGTAGTCGTTACAGATTCTTCTAGCAGGTCCAAGCCAAAGCAAACATCAAGCATCAGCTTACACACTTCTAATCCCATCCTTAACCTGAGGGCCACAATGCCCACAAAGTGACCTTTCAAGAGCTAATGAGAAAACCACGCAGACAAGTGTTGGCCCCTCAACACAAGAACAACTCCCATTAAACCTTTTTAAAAGCTCCTTTGTGAAAAATCTACTAATTTATTATGTTTAACTGAAGGATTAAAGCAGGATTTAATTTAACTTTGAAACTTATCCCACATTAATAAAACTTACCTCAAGTTGCCTTTTTGGACATGCATGCATATATTTGTACAGACTGTACTTGAGAGGAGATTATTACAGCCTCATGTAAAATCAATGATCATGATATCAGGATGATATCGTATCAGCCGATATCCAGATTTATATACTTGGAGGTTTTTCACTCATCGTGGGGCTTCAAGGTACGGACCCCCCGCGATAAACCAGGGACTACTATGCTTTTATATGATTGTGTACCGTTGTGTGTACCAGTACATACTGGTAGTAGGAAAATTACACAAACATTGGGAAGCTGTAAAATGTAAATTAGACAGAGTACAACGATTTGAAAACACCTATATTTTACTCACAATTTTTGGGGAGAATAAATAAATAGATTTTGAATTCGATGGCAGCAACACATTAAGATGGGGGCAACAAAAGGCTTTAAAATTAAGTGGTAAAATAAGAAAAATGCTTTTTCAGTATTGGTGTTGTTACCGTCACAAACTGCCCTGGTCTTTGAGAATCAGACATACTTTGTCTACGTGCCAGTTTCTCTCTAAATGCATTACATCTCATTTAAAGAAGAACAAAGTGCTTCAGCAACAAAAAGGCCTTTTCTGGTCAGCAGAGCAGTTTGAGACACGTCCCTTCGTGATTAAAACCCTCTAATGAAGTGAGACACGAGTTTAAAAGTGCCAGTTACATTTAATCAACATGAAATGTGCTCCAATCCAAAGCGTAATGTCAGAGTCATTGAGGCAGCTGGGTCATCTGTCAGTCCAAGTCATTTACAGCCCGACTGCCGCCACAGGCTCAGGGCCTGACCGTGACCCTGGCTGGGTCAAACACAGTGTCCAGTGACACAATGCTGCTACGATGCTTGTTTCCACAAGCCAACAGTTAGAGGAAGGAGGCAGCGGAGACATGCGCCCGTGTGCTGCTAAGTTTGTTCAAATGAGTAGGGCTTTTTCAAGAAGCCTTAAGCTAGCCCAAGAATGCACGTGTATGTTTTTGTGGAAACTAACCCCCCACGGATATTCATACGCTCAGATGTCATCAGGCCAGCACAGGCGTGTTACAGCACTTGCAGACAGGTGATCACACTCGTTTAAGCCTCCCAGCGGTCTTCATCAATCTGTTGTCCTTTTCAACAACAGGCTGGGCGCTTCAAGACTTCACACACCAGACTTCAAGGAGGACGCCACTCGATCCAAGAAGTCAGGAGCTATTTTTATGGGCTGAGACAGTAGTCAACATTTATGACAAGTCAACATGAGGAAGCCCAGAGCAGCATGGTTCTATGTGTAAGCAAATAAAGCTCACTTATTTATAAATTGCTCCACAATTCTGGCTTCACTCGTCTGTGATTAATGACTCAATGCAGAATTACAAACGGTGGTGTCAATACCGAGAGCTGCAGAAAACTTTAAATGTGATAACAAAAATCAACCCATAAATCTAAAAGAGATTTTAAATAAATCACTTTTAATGTAGAAGCTATGTGGCTGCATGTTTGCTGATTGTCCCACTAACAATTGAACTTGAACCGTTTCAGTGTGTAAAAGTCCTTCAGTAATTTCTGTTGCGGTTGGACAGATAAATATTTGTATAATTAGCCTCTCACAGAACATTTTCATTTGGCCAAACTCTTCAAGGAATTGCTAGTAGATAAAATATATTCCCAATTCATTTTTCCAGAGATGTTACAAAAAAAGACGTTGAGGAGAATGAAAACCACCTGTGATCCAAGCAAACTAAACCCGGACAATACTGAATATTCAACACCGTCACTGCTCCTTCCAAGTCTAAAGACCTCCTTCATGCACAACAACTGCTCCCTGGGCTTCAACAGACACCCAACACTTCAACTAAATTAAACCGTTGTCTAAAAACTGACTGCTACTCCTTTAAGACTTAAAAGCGGCTCTTTGAGATGGCACACAAATCGAACAGAGCGGGCCAGGCATACCAAGGGGAGCCTTGACAAGGCAGGCGGGGGAGCTGCTGGAATGATACTGGGTGGGGAGTAGATGGAGACACGAGCACCTCTTTGAAAATGATCCATGGCTGTGGCTGGCAGCGAGTGCCACACCAGATCCCCTCAGACAGGCAGAGAGGACGCCAGCCTGTGGGCTGAGGCCATAATGAGCTGCACACACACAGAAACAACAAGAGCCATGCACCAACTGCAAACATTACATGGATGTGTGCACAAGACATGAACTACAAAGAGCCTCCCACCGACAGATACGCACTCTTGGGCATGACGTACACAAACAATCACAAGGCTGCGATGGAACCAAAGCTCCATGAAAACAGCAAACCAGCAAGATTCTCTTAAAGAACCAAACCTAGAGTTCAAACCTACACTTGCTAATCTTTAACCAGACTCACCTGTTCACATTAAACTGCAAAGGAATCACAAAAGGGGAAAGAAAGGATATGATTGGGGGGCAGGAAGTTCCAGCTGAGCACCTGATTGGCCAGAGCCAGGTAGCGCTGAAAGACACAGGACATGTGAGCGCTGAGGTTTTCACGCCGAGTGAACTCCTGCAGCACCTCCATGGTCATCATGAAGATCTGACGCAGGCCGTCCTCCTGCAGGGGACAAGGGATGAGCACGATGATGAGCGCAGTAGGAGTGATGAAGGGAGAGGCAAGTGAATGCAAAGAATTCAAACCTGAAACAGACGCTTGCAGTTGCCATGAAACTCCATGCTGAGGCCGATGCTGCTGGTCTTACTGGAGCTTGAGAACTCACTGAGCAGAGCGGTCAGGATGGAGCAGGCCAGCGTTTGCTGCAGACAACAACACTGCGTTACCTCTGAACAGTGCTCACACAACAACAACACAACCCTGACTCAACACTGTGGATCCAGACTCATTATTATTACCATCATTAATAACGTGCATCACCAAATGATTTGAACCTGCAAGAATTCATCCAGACGACCTGACTGTATAAATCTACATCAAACCACGTTAAAAACATCTGGATGCAGCTGTTTCTGAAGAACTACAGCTACTGCAGGGAAAAAGAACAAGTTAGGACTTAATGCTGAAGCTCAGTGAATATTTAAGAAAGAATCTTTATTAAACTATCAACAAAGATAAACAAAATACATTGAAGAAAACTGATGCACATCATCAAAGCTTTATTCATCCATTCATCATGAGGCACATGTGAATGAAGTGCAGAACGTTCACATGAATCCATCCATCATGTTTACCTGCTTCTTCCTCCACACGGATGGAACAAGTACTTGTTGTCAAAGCATAATGAAGATGCTGTGCTAAGTGAAGCACGTTGTGGTTATAGTATCTACTCGTGCACGGTTGCACACACAGTGCACAGGTCTATATGATAACTGAATGGCAGAGGAGTGACAAAAAACTAACAAAGGAACATGGGCATGGCAACTATTTTCCAAAAACTTTAAGCAAAACTAGTATTTGTGGACCTGTTCTCTTAGAAAAAGTAAAAAGTGAACGTTTGAAGCTAAAGTATTTCCAGTGTGAAGTCTAACCCATGACGGCTGCAGCCTCAGGCACCCGTCTACCCATGCTGCTCTTTTCTTTGGACGGGCTGTACTGGAATGTAATCCCCTTGTGCTTCTGTGCAATGACCATAAACTCTGATTCTGACATTAGTAAAATTAGATACATAATGCAACAACATTTTTGATGGGGAAAAGTAACTATAGCCACCCTCGTGGATTAATGAGAACAAAGTGGGTTATTATTCAAGGCAACCTGATGATTTTGTTTACATGTTGCACATTAATCATCATTAAGATGAAGTCTTTTCTTAAGATATGCAAAATGACTCCTTTGAAAATGGTTTGATACATTTTGAATATGGCAAATATTATTTCTATAACTTTAACGCACAGAATTTCTCAGAGCAGCGTCTGCAGTATTGCGGACTCTGTGCCGGTCTGTCGTGGTGAAGCGGGTGTTGAGCTGTAAGGTGAGGCTCTGTTTCCCACTTGGTCTGCGTTACTGCTCTCACATATGGCCTCAAACTCTGGGTAGTGACAGAAAAACTGTGGTCGTGGATATAAGCGGTCAAAACAAGTTTTTCCAAAGGTTGGCTGGACTCGCTCTTAGAGACGGGGTGAGAAGTTATCAGGAGAGTAGAACCGCTGCTCCTCCACATCCAGAGGAGACCGTTCAGGAGGTTCAGACAGCTGGTAAGGATGATCCCTGGGCAACCCCCAGGGAGGTGCTTGGGGTATGTCCGACTGGGAGGAGACCCTGGAGAGACTACAGATGCATCTTAAAAAATTAAAAAATATGTTAAAACGCTAAAAATTTGAGTCAATTGTTTCAGAAAGTGAAACTTTAGATTCATTTCAGATAGAATGAAACATTTCAAGCCTTTACTTCTTGTCATGTTGATAATGGAGGCTTGCAGAGAATGAAAAACCAAAACTTGTGTCTCATAAAATGAGAATGCAGTAGGCCCTGGCTACTTCACCGTTCAGTTTTCTGGACTGGATCTATCGCGGTTTTTCTAAATAAGAGCGGACATGACACACAACTGATGGATGAGCTGCACGATCAGCATGACATGTTTATTTTAAATGAATTATTTTAAATGATTCAGCACCTGCTGCACCTGGGTGCAGCCTACACTGCAGGACAAGCTCCCTCCTGCAGCTCCTCCTCTGTGTCCCGGGGTCGTCCCAGAAGAGCTGGAAGAGGTGGCAGTGGACAGAGATGTCTGAGCCTCACATGTCAAGCTGCTGCCTCATAACCAAACTCACGAACAAGCAGAACATAAAAGATGGAATAAAACTAGTTTCCTTATTTAAAACAAATTACGTAATTGCAAGTTCTCCCATCTCTGTAATGAAATAAATGTACACATTGTTTAACAAATGTTTACTTTAGTTCATATGTGTCAAACTCAAGGCCCGGGGGCCAAATGTGGCCCTCATTAATAATAGTAACAATAATACTTTATTTATAAAGCCCTTTAAAACAACCACAGCTGCCACAAAGTGCTGTACATATAAAATCTAGAACATTTAAACACATAAAAACAGTTGTTAAAACATTAAAATCAATAAAAAATAAAAACAGTTTAGAGTAAATTCAGTGTGTGCTAAAATCCAGGGAGTAAAAATGTGTTTTTAAAAGAGTTTTAAAACTGGACAGTGAAGGGGCTTGTCTGATGGGAAGAGGGAGATCGCTCCACAGTCTTGGAGCAGCAACAGAAAAAGCTCTGTCCCCTCTGAGCCTCCGCTTAGACCTCGGCACCTCCAGGAGCAGCTGATCAGCTGATCTGAGGCACCGAGCAGGAGAGTATGGGTGAAGCAGCTCAGAGAGGTAGGATGGAGCAAGACCATTTAAACTTTTAAAAACAAATGAAAGAATCTTAAAATGAACTCTAAAATGAGTCAGAGTTTCTTTATTGTCATTCGCACGTCATGTGGTACATGTGGTGGAGTGAAATTATGTTCACAGGGTCCCAGTTACATCCAACAATAAAATGTCTAAGAAAAACAGTAATAACATCTAAGATATGAACTAAGAAAAACATCAACTAAATATACACTAAGCACTCATAACATAAAACATTGAACATCAGCACAAACATGAACATGAATCTGTGAGCAGATGAGCACACATGAACACATCAACATTGAAACAGATCAGCAGCAACATGAAACAGATCAGCAGCAACATGATATGGTTTTTCACAGTGATTATTCTAGTTAGAGATTCATGAGTCTAACAGCCTCAGGGTAGAAGCTGTTCCTCAGTCTAGTGGTTCTACACTTAATGCTCCTCAACCTCCTTCCTGAGGGGAGCGGGGCAAAAAGTGTGTGTGCTGGGTGAGTGGGGTCCTTCATGATGCAGGTGGCCCTCTTCCTGCATCTGGAGGTGTAGATGTCTGTGATGGTGGGGAGACTGATTCCAACAGATTTCTGTGCAGCCTTCACCACTCTCTGCAAAGCTTTTCTTTCTGCAGCTGTGCAGCCTCCATGCCACACGTTGATGCTGGAGCACAGGATGCTCTCCACTGCACACCTGTAGAAGGAGGTGAGGACTGAGCTTCCCAGACCAGCTCGCCTCAGCCGTCTGAGGAAGTAGAGTCTCTGATGAGCTTTCTTGATCAGGCTGGTGGTGTTGTTGCTCCAGCTGAGGTTGTCATTCATGTGTACACCCAAGTACTTGTAGCTGGAGACCACTTCCACCGCAGATCCTCTTATGTTCAGGGGGGTGTAGGTGTTTTGTTCCTTCTGAAGTCCACAATCATCTCCTTTGTCTTCTTCACATTGATGTGAAGGTTATTCTCTCTGCACCAGCTCTCCAGGTGTTCCACCTCTTGCCTGTAGCTGGACTCATCATTGTTTGTGATGCATCCCACCACCGCTGTATCATCTGCAAACTTTACAATGTGACAGCCTGGATGGGTAGCTGCACAATCATACGTGAGCAGAGTAAACAGGAGGGGGCTCAACACACATCCCTGAGGAGAGCCAGTGCTGAGGGTTATGGTGGAGGAGGAGAAGTTGTGGATCCTCACTAACTGTGGTCTGTTTGTTAACCACGCTCCCTGAGGTCAGTGGACCAGTTGCTCCTCACAGTTCCAGGAACTCGTCTTAAGCGCAGAGGTGACAGGACCTTCTCTGTAGCAGGACCAAGACTCTGGAACGAGTTACCTCTGCTTGTCAGACAGGCCCCCTCCCTCTCGGTTTTCAAGTCCCATTTAAAAACTCACTACTATTCAGTAGCTTTCAACACCAGATGATCTGTGTTTTGATCCTGTATGCTCCGCACTGGTTTGTCGTCATTATCTGCATCGTTTTTATGTCTATATTCTGATTTACCTCATTTTGTATTTTGCTTTGTGTGTTACCTGTTGTTCTGTCTGTACAGCAATTTGGTTGGCCTTGTTGCTGTTTTAAGTGCTTTATAAATAAAGTGGTATGGTATGGTATGGTTAAGAAGTCTAGTACCCAGTTGCAGATGGAGGGGCTTAGTCCTAGTGTAGATAGTTTGTCCATCAGGGTTTGGGGGATCATGGTGTTGAAGGTGGATGTGAAGTCCACAAAGAGCATACAGACGTAAGAGTTTTTCTGCTCCAGGTGGTTGAGCGCAGTGTGGACCACAGAGGAGATGGCGTCCTCTGTTGATTGGTTCTCACGGTATGCGTACTGGTGAGGGTCCTCGTTGAACATGTTTCAACTCGTTGAAATGAACAGGCAGCCTGTGGAGTGAAGCCAGAGTGGGGGTGATGTGCTCCCTCTCATGAACTCCAGTTAGAAGCCGAGCAGCAGCGTTCTGGACCAACTGGAGGCGTCTGAGAGAGGACTGGCTGACTCCAAGGTAAAGAGCGTTACAGTAATCCAGCCGAGAGGTGACGAAGGCATGGATTACTGTTTCCAGCTGCTGTTTTGTAAGGATGGACTTTACCTTAGCCAGCTGTCTGAGGTGATAAAAACTGGTCTTGACCACCGCTCCAATCTGGGAATCAAATTTAAAATCACTGCCCAGTTTAAAACCCAAGTTAGAAACTGTTTTCTTTACATGTGGTGCCAGAGGGCCCAGATCAACAGGGCAAGGTTCACAAGAGCCACTAGGACCAAACACCATCACTTCTGTTTTCTTTTCATTGAAATTTAAGAAGTTTAAAGACATCCAGGCTTTGATGTCTTCAAGACACAATAGAAGTGGCCTAATTGAAGGGGCATCTTTCTTTTGTAGTGGCATATAGATCTGACTATCGTCAGCGTAACAGTGAAAAAAGATCCCATGCTTTCTAAGGATTGATCCCAATGGAAGC